TCGCGTGCCATTCAAAACGTATATCCCAAACCCTCGATACCCGCCTTCTTCGTCTTCGATCGTACCCCTTGGGGGTATATTTTTGGGAAGAGAGGACGGATGGAAGGAAGGAGCAAGGGGGAGGGAGAAGGATGGAGCACAAAAGAGAATAGCAGGAGGGGGGCTATGAGCAGAAAACACGTGGCTGAATCAGACGGGCTGATCAGGGATGGCGAGGTCTTTTTGGGATCTGCGTCGGGCACCACTGTGCTGTCTCCCCCAGCAGCCCTCGAAAGCGACGACCGTTTCACACTTCGCAGCCCCCGAGGGATGGCGAGGTCTTAATTGGATCTTTCTGGGACACCACTGCGCTGGCCCCCACAGCAACCCTCGAAAGTGTTGACACTTTCTGCAGTTCGCAGCCCCCCCAGGGATGGCGAGGTCTTTTGGGGGATCTGGGCGGGACACCTGTGCTGACCCCCCAGCAGCCCTCGAAAGTGGTGACAGCTGCTCCTTTCAGGGGAAAGCACGACGGAGAGGTAGGCGACAGACCAGCCAGGCAGGACAGTGAGGCAGGAGGCATGCAAGCAGGCAGGTGCAGGCAGGCGAGAGGGGAACAGAGGGCGGAAGGAGGAGAGCGGAGGACTGCAGACCCCACTGCTTTAATTCAAAAGGAAAATCCAACCAAGGGAGGGTTGGGGGAAAAAGGTTGTGTTTGTGGACCGTGGCGTCGCGATCTGCGAGCGGGGTGCATCCAACCTTCAACAAGTGCGAGGGTGTCCCGAGCGAAACGGCCAACAACAAACAACACGGCTGCGCAGCTAATCACCTCCGAGCTCTAATCCCTTGGAGTATGAAACAGATCTGTATATCTATATGTACATATACACACTACAACCACGCGCGCTACGCGAGCTTAGGCTCTAGTCGCAGATGAGGCTCGGGTGTCGCTGTAAGCCCCAATGTGGTCACAACGACGATTTCCAACGTTCTCGGGCCCATGCCATCGACGCAAAGAAACGCGTAGTCAGAACTCGCTCTGCTGGGGACGCCCTCGAGGGGTGGGAGGGGGAAAGCAAATTGTGCAATGATAGGGTATAGCGATGCCCCGCTCGCTCTGGCGGGGCCTGTCTGGCGCTCTGGCGGGGCCGCCCCAGGACAGGAGGGAGGACCGCGAAAGCTGAGGGGTGAGGGGTTCTGTCCTGGGCCTGTCCTGGGGTTCTCTTGGGCCGTTCGGGGCTCCTCCTGGACTATTTTCGGGTTCCCCGGGGCAGGAATTGGGCCTCTTCGGGCTCTCTCGGCACGCCTCTCGGAGGTCTCTCGAGGCCTCTTGGAGGCCTCTTGGGCTGTGCATTTCTGGTCTGGAACCCGTCTGCGGCCACGTTGGGGCTATCTGGGCTGTCTTGGAGGGGCTTGTCGAAGTCCCCCCGGGGGGCTTCTGGGAGCACCTTGGAGCTTTCGGGGGCAGTCCGGGGGCTTCACGGCCCCCTCCGGGGCACTCTGGAAGCAACCTCGGAGGCCCCGGTCCTGCCATGCCGCCCCGAGGTCGCGGCCCCAGGCGCCCGGGCCTCTTGCGGGTGCGTGTACATTTATGTTTTTTTTATATATACACATATACATACATGCATGCATACATGCATACATGATTATAGCTACATGCATACATACATACATACATGCATGCATGCATGCATGCATACATACATACATACATACATGCATGCATGCATGCATACATACATACATACCTACCTACCTACCTACCTACATACATACATACATGCATACGTACATACATACATACATACATACATACATACATACATACACACATACATACATATATACACATTACATACATACATACATACATACATACATGCATGCATACATACATACATACATACATACATAAATACATACATACATACATGCAGACATACAGACAGACAGACAGACAGACAGACAGACAGGCATACATACATACGTATACACATACATACATACATACATACATACATACATGCATGCATGCCTGCATGCATGCATGCATACATACACACATACAGACAGACAGTCAGACAGACAGACATATATACACCTACATACATACATACATACATACATACATACATACATACATGCATGCATGCATACATACATACAGACATACACACATACACACACATACATGCCTACATACCTACATGCCTACATACCTACACATCTACATACCTACCTACATACATACATACATACATGCATGCATACATACATACATACACACATACATGCATACATAAATACATACACACATTCATACATACATACATACATACATACATACATACATACATACATACATACATAGATACATGCATACGTTCATACATACATGCATGCATACATACATCCATACATGCATGCATGCATACATACAGACATACAGACATACACACAAGCCTGCATTGGCGCTTCGCGCCATGCACTTTGGCGATAGTTTAGCGATAATCCGTTGTTGCCTTTTCTGGCATCGTCGTTGACATCATGTTGTTTGTTATAATTACCCCATGTTTCCTCTTCTTCTTCTTCCTCATTATCCCCCTACCCTGCGAATTCTTCCCTATCCTCAGCTCTTGTTGCAGAGGCTCATCCTAGGAGAGCCTCTTGTGAGCCTCACGAACGTTTTTTGGGGGGGCTTGTTTGGGGGCTATCTGGAAGCCTCCTGGGTCCCTTCTGGGGGCCTCTGGGGACTTCCCTGGGCCACCCTGCTTCCAACCACGGTCTCCCTGGACGACCGGGTCACGATTTGGAATGATTCGGGAGGCGTCTTGGGGCCATCTTGAGCCGTCATGGGGCCCTCTTCGGGCCATCTTTAGGGCGTCTTGGAGCTCCTCTCGGGCTGCCTGGAAGCCCTCGTGGTTTAAACGTAGAGCGATTATCTTGCCTCCTGGGCGGTCTCCGGCGCCTGGAAGACCGACGAACTGAGCATTCCCAACATCATACAAAAACCCTGGTAAATCAATGTTTCTTGCTTTTCGAATGCCTCTTGGGGGTCGTTTCTCAATCGTCTTGGAGCGACTGGTGGGTGCCTGGGGCCTCTGTTGCCTCTGGCGGGGCCGTCCGGCCGCCCTCCTGACCCTAGGCCCATCAGGGGCTTCAGGAGCCTTGAAAGCACAAGGGACCGTCTGCAAGGTCGTCCAGGGTGCACCTGGAGCCAAGGATCCGGAAGGGGTCCCGTTTATTAGGAGGGGGTCACAGAGTCCCAGATGATATCAATATAGAAAAGGGAATATGTATGTATCCCCCTCCTCTCCTCCTCCCCAAAGTGTTCCCCCACGGTTTTCCACAACAAGTGCCGGGAGCACATCGTCCAAAAGCTTGGCGAAACATTGGCCCGACGTTTGGCCACACATCCGTTTCCAAAAGAAGTTTCGGTGGTGATTCGCAGTAGGCATGTCATATTCCTCGAATTCGAAGACCGCTGGCACCTCACAGCAATTCCCAGTCTCGCCACATAACCACAGTTTATCGTCTCTGGGCTGAACTGCGTAACCTGTACTCACACGGCAAGCGCGCTTGCAACAGATCTCTGCACCATCATAAACATGCGCACTCCCCGCACATGCCCACCACATGAGTGGCTGTGCCACGTTGGGCAAACTCCTGCGATCACTGCCCGCAACGCGGATGCCTTCAAATGCAAAACATGCTCCTGTTGATACGAGCTGGCTTTGCGACGCAGTGAGTGTGCAGGCTTCGAGACACCGACTGGTATCGATGATAGCCCTGTGGGCAGCAGATCCGACGCATACCCAAAACGTAACGATGTTCACAAGGTGGACCCCAGAAGCCTCGATACCCTCTTCGGGACCGGATTTTCACTGCGGGTCCTTCTATTGACGGTTGTGGGGCCAGGACGCGACATCCGGAGGCCGAAAGCGCCGAACACCTCGGAATCGATATGTTCAAGTCTCTGAAAGTGTGGGTGTCGACGAACGTCCCCTGAGCAGCAACTCTGACGAACCAGCCAGTGTCGAACACGGCGCCCCTCAGCGACGAGGATGTCTGCGCCGCTGGCAGGCTTAGGGTCGGCTTCGGCCCGAACTTCTGGCTGGGCTTCGATTTGGATCATGGTCTCATCCGCGGGTCTGGCGTCGAGTAGGAGGGGGGCGTAAACGCATGGGGTAAGATCCTGTAGATGTCGGGAAATCGCGCACTTGCACTGTAAACCGACAGCATGCATACGACATTGGAATTGTGAGACCTCCTTAGAACAGACACACACGCTCCCAGCTTCCGTGGGGCTCCGGGCGGCCTCCTTGGAAACTCCCCCAGCTTCCGAGGGCCCCCTCGAAACACGGCGAGCAGTGTTCGTGCTCGGTGCGGCCACTTGCGCCGAGCGCCGCAACAGCTCGCATCCTCTGGCCGAGGTGCACGAGAAGGACTCGGAGAACCGGAGCACGGCCTCGCAGCTCCGTCCGACGGCCGAACAGAGCGCGGAGGGCCCTCGGCCGAGGGCGCAGAACTGACGGGGACGGCTCAAAGGAGGAGACAGGGAGGACACTAGCAGATTTCACCGCATGAGGCCGACTGGTCCCTCTAAACAGGATGGTTGAGATGATTGTGTTTCCTGAAGTGGTGCCTCGTGGGCCCTGTCTGAGGTGCGACGCCAGGGGGGCTACGTAGAAGGCATGGCGCTCAAGAAAGGAGTAGTGGGCGATTCGTTAAGCGTCCCATGAACGAACTGCGAGAAAATCGAGCAGAGAGAGAGAAGGGAGGAGGAGGAGGAGGAGGAGGAGGAGGAGGAGGAGGAGGTGGACGCGGAGCCAGAGGAGGAGGAGGAGGAGCCAAAGGAGGAGGAGGAGGAGGAGGAGGAAGAGAAGGGGGAGGGGGAGGAGCTGGAGGAGGCGGAAGATGAGGAGGAGGCCGAGGAGGAGGAGCGCACGTAGCATGGAGGAGGAGGAGGAGGCGGAGGAGGAGGCGGTGGCGGAGGAAGCTCGGCGTCGGCAACGGCATGCCTCGGCGACAGCTTCGACATCTCCGTCGTCACCGGCGTTGCGGCCAGGCCGCCCTGCCGCACCTCCCCGATCCGCGCGGTGAGGAACCTCTGTGCCTCGCCGGGCGCCGCGGCTCACCACACTCACGCGCGTCGCACGACACGAGGGTGAACGTTTCCCGTGCGAGGCCCGACGACGCACGCGGTGCACGCCGTGGAGGCCACGTGCTACTTACGTGTTGGCCCTCGTGCTGAACTTGCGCACGCGGTGGCTCACGCACAGAGGTCTCGAGAGGTGCCCCGCCCCACGGAAGAGCCGCAGCGCGGGCCTCCGCACGGGCCCAACGCGTGCGCGCCAGGGAGAGACAACTCGACGCCGGCGGCGCTCGGGGCGGCGGCAACGCGAGAACACGGAGATTCGGGCCCCCCTTCTGGGCCCGAACACCTGGCCGAAGCTGGCACGTTCCCCCCAAGCGCCGACAAGGGCATCCCCAAGATGGTGCAGCGCCAACACGGGATCTCGACCGGCACGCCACAGAAGCGCAGCGAGGGTCTACTCATGTTCGTCCGGGCCCACGCGGCCGAAGGGAGGAGGCGCAGGGCAACAAGAATGGAAAGAAGGGCGGCAAGGCACTCCGCTCTATTAGCTGCAGGGAAGAGAAAGGTGGACTGTGAATACAGGGAGAGAGAACGAGAGAGAGAGAGAGCTATACACTCACAGATACAGACTGGCAGACAGGCAGGCAGGCAGGCAGGCACACAGGCAGACACACACACACATACATACATATATATAGAGAGAGAGAGATCGAAACAGGAAAAAGACAGAGACTGACAGAGAGGGCAAGAGAGAGGGGATATATATAGAGAGAGAGAGAGAGAGTGCAGAGAGAGAAAGAGAGAGAGAGAGAGACGGACAGAGAGCCCGAGAGGGAAAGAGAGAGAGAGAGAGGAAAAACATAACAAAACTGAAAAACGACAGAAACGGGAAGAGAGATGCTCAGTCGAGGGACTGAGGGACTTGTCGTGGCCATGTGTTGCGCCCATGCGGTGCACCCACGGGCCTCGCTGCATAGCTTTGCTTTGCGTTGCGTTTCATGGCTTTGCAGCTGCGTGTCCTGGTTTGCTCTGATTTGCTATGCTCTGATTCGGGCTGTTTCGCACTGCTTGCATTGTTGTGCATTGCTTTGAGATGCATAGCACTGCCTTTGATTGCGCCACACGGGCTGCACCAACACATTGACCTATTTGAGGCTCACGCTGGAAATCGGAAAACTAAGAAACCTACCGGCGACACATTCTGGGAGATCGGAATCTGATGCGTGGCACTCATTCTAAAAAGCAGTCGCCTCAGAACAGCAGCTGCTCTCTGGAGGGAGTGTGCCGAACCGCAGCAACGGCAGCACACCACAAAGCACCTGCTGGTGGGAGGGGGTGATTAGGGGCGCGGGATGATTATCTCACAGCTGCCTTCACAGGAGGCACGGCCAGAAAGAAGCCGCCTGAAGCTAGCGCAGGAGGGGCAGAAGGGGGGGGAAGACCCCCCCCCCACCTCCCTGCACACCCTCGGAAGCCCCGGAGGACCCCGAGTGTCCCCCGAGGCCTCTCCAGAGTCCCCGAAGAGCCCCGGGAGGCCCGAGGAGATCCAGGAACGTCAAAGCAGCTCGATGCGAGAAAGCCGATCCTCTCTCCCCCAAAGATCTGGGAGGAGGAGGAGGAGGAGGAGGAGGAGGCTGATGCCTCGACCTGTTCCGCACGAGGACCCCGCAAGATCCCGACCCGTTCCGCGGGGCCAGTCTCGTCGCCCCTGCCACTTCTGAAGGGGCCAAAACTATTCCGCATATTTTCCCATATGTTCTGGGTTTTGTCTTCCCCCCCACTTCCAATATTTTCCCATATTTTCTGGAAATCGACGATTAATTGTGTCTGTGTGTTTTTCTCCCTCCAGAACTTCTTTGGCGGCCCCCTGGCCCCGCGAAGGTCCCTTGAGGCCGAGGACGCAGAGACACCTCCGCCTCGATGTTCGGCACGTGGAGCGTCGGGGTCCCTGCGTGCGTGCCCTTCCCGGACGTTGGCAAAACTGGGTTTAGTGGGACCTGGCTTAGCGATGTGTACTGGGGGGCGCCCCCCCCGCCCCGTTCCACTAAACGAAGCTGCCGTGACCCGAAACACACACCAGCTACGGCAGACCTGGGTTAGCGGGTTAGCGATTCTGGCAAAATCAAGGGCTCTGGGGCCCTACCACGAACCGGGTTCCCTTACCCGAGGTCCTGGCTATACCCGACCTTCCTTCGCCCCACCGTGTCCCACGGAATCCCATCGGAAGCAAGCGAGGAGGAGATCCCACGTACAGTCAGGTCGACGGGATGAACTCATCGTTGTCTTTAATACTAAGTCCTTGCATTTTTTAGTACATGATCCGCACGCGGAGCATGTATTAAAAACGGCACTGCACGTGCTCGGGACATCCTCCACCAAGGAAGGCTAAGAATCAGCAGCGCATGCACGCAGCTTTATGTCGCAGACCGCTGCCGTGGACAACTCCGCAACCGACATCCCCTGGACAACAGTCCCGCTACTTGCGTACTGTTAAGTCGGGCCTGTCCCCCTACAGGCCGATTTGGGACGAAAGATTAAGAATACCCCAAAAATGCAAAAAATGCTAACAAATTATAAAAAAATAGTCCCCTGACTATTTTTTGACTATTTTTGAATATTCCCCCTGTCGAGGGACAGGCCCGACTTAAACGTACTGCCTTCAGCCTCTTTTCCCTCCGAGCGGCACCGTGCGGTCCGCCCGCGGGAGAGGCGAGGCACCGGGCTGCACCCCGTGCGGCCCGAGCAGCCGCGCCGGAGCCCACCAAGCCGCCGCCCTGCTGCCCAGCTTCGGGGATGGACAGACCCCCCTTTAGTAAAACGTGGTTTAGTGAAAACGACCTGAGGCCCAAACCTGGCGGGCGCAAGCCTGGAAAATAACGGCCACGGCGCCCTCTCGAGAACCGAAAACGGACAATTCACTAATCGACGTGTCACTGTGGGGGGTTCTGTCCATCCCCGACAGCTTCCCGTAAGAAGACCCCGGCACTTCCTGCAGCGTCGGGCGGCGAGGCGCCGACACCGATCGAAGGTCAGCGGCGCGCCGAGGAGTGAAGCTCGACGGTTTCTTGCGTTGTCATTGGTTCCCCGAGGCTTTTCCAACCTCAAGGGTGCTTTCCAGCAGCTGTGCCTCGCCAGGAGCGCTCCGGGATCGTCTCGAACGGCCGCCAGAGGCCCGAGTTATGACCCCAAAACCAGACTCGGCGTTGTGCCTAGTGGGGAAGGCAAGGGTTCTGGCGCCAGGTCGACGGCTGCAAGGCGGGGATGTATCCACGCCCACCGCCTGGCGGAGCCGACGTCCTGGGACCCCATGGAGCCGTGGGTATTGATCGCTTCGGGCCCCAGGGGAACCCAAACATCCGCCACCGGGCCTTCAGCACGAAGTGGAATGCCCCAATACGCATGCAAGGTGTACGAGCTCGACGGATTGCAGAATTCTCACAGGCCCAGACAACGATGTTCCAAGAATTTCTGTGCGCTCTTGGGTGCTCCTGGTTGTTCTTGGGGTGTGTCGCGTCGGCCTCCAGGACGGTGAACCCACCCAGAACGACCCGGCGAACCTGCAAGACTCTCCCGAGAAGCGCTCAAGACGGTCCTAGAGAGCGCCAGGACGGCCCATGAGGGCACAAAGAAAACCCGCAAGACGGCTCATGAAGGCACAGAGCCAGCCCACCCACGATGGACCTGAGACAACCTAAGAGGCCGCCAACACACCCCAAAAAGGCTCCAAGAGGCCGTCCAAGATCTTCCCAAGAGGCCAACGTCAATGATTCCCCATTCGTTTTCGATGAGTTCGAGCGTTCTCGCCAAGAGAAGCCCAGGACCGCTCCAAGATGGCACAAAAGTCTACAAAAAAGAAGACCCCAGGACGGCCCAAGAGGGCCCCTGGACGGCTCAATAGGCCCCAAGACGGCCCAGGATGGCCCCGAGAGGGACCCAACGACGCGAAGGTCTCCCCATGCCGGCTCACCGCCTCCCAAGGCCACGGGGAACCCGTGGGCCCTCCACCCCACGATGACCATCGAGACTGTCAGCAGGCCCGCGAGAGGCCCCCGGGATGTCCACACGACGACCCCAGACGGCTTCCGCGGGTTAACCAGGAGGCCCAAGAAGCCCCCAAGAAGCCCCCAAGAGGCCACAGGAGGCCCGCCGGAGCCCTACAACATGCATGCACGACCCAGGCAAGGTGGCGTGATGGGCCGACGGCCATTAGATCGGCCTGCCACAGGGGTCCACGGCGTGCTAGACGTTGGCTTCTGTCTACTTCCCAGCGAATGCCCAGTGGGGTCTCGGTCCGGCCCGCCGCCCACGCGGAGAGACCCATGAGAGGTGACTCCCATCGGTTTTCGCTCTGACGATGGCTTCTAGATGGCATCCAGGTAGGCCCAGATGGCTTAAGATGCCTCCAAGATGCCTTCAAGACGGCCAAGATGGTCGCAAGAAGACCCAAAACGTCCTCCAGACGGCCCAAGAGGCCCCCAAGACGCCGCTAGAATGCTCCAAGAGGACCTCCTAGATGCAATCATCATGTATTACCCGATTGTTTTTCAATGGTGCTAGCGGTCTTGCCTTTCTGGGCTTCCGACGCTCCAAGACGGCCCCATCGGCCCCCGAGAACGCCGCAAGACGTCGCAAGAGGCCCGCAAGACAGCCAAAGAGGGCCCCCAAACGACCCAAGAAATACCCAAGACAGCCCCTAGACAACCCCATATCCCTTCAAGACAGCCCTACAGCACCCAAGGAGGTGAGGGCCCCAAGACGGCCTCCGAAGGCCAAGAAGTCCATTGGAGGCCCCCAGAAGCCCCGAACAAGCCCCCCAGAGGCCCCAGGAGAGGCCTCAGGAGGCCACCCCGAGAAACCCCTGAAAGGCCCTCAAGAGGCAGTCAGGCAGCCCTCAGGAGGCCCCGAGAGGGCTCTCAAGAGGCCTCCTCCTCTTCTTCCTCCTCCATCCCTCTTCCGTCCAAATAGATCATCCCAATCGCGCCCCTAGGCCAGTCGAAAAAACGGGCCAGGCGTTTCTTCGTCTGAGATGTCCTACTACTTATGATCCTGAAGCATCGGATTTGCAACAATCTCACGGATGGAGGGCGGGCCGCTTTCAACATATGACTCTCGCACGCGCTGCGCCAAATCGACCTAAACATTAGCCTGCGAAAGACCCAACCATATGCAGTTGTGAGTACCGAACTTGTAAATATCTTTTTCGGTGGCGCTGCCTATGGGGGCCACGAAACGCTGTACGGGGTGGGTGAAACGCAGGGAGCAAGGGCTGTGTTGGGTGGTGGCGGGCGCATGCGGTCGGTGCCACTGGGACCTTCCGTGGAGCTCCCTATGGGGGCACGAAGCGCTGTACTGGGTTGGTGAAACGCAGGGAGCCAGGGCTGTGCTGGGTGGTGGCGGACGCATGCGGGCGGCGCCACTGGGACCCTCGGTGGAGCCCCCTTATGGTGCCACGAAGCCCTATACTGGGTGGGTGGAACGCAGGGAGCAAGGACTGTGCTGGGTGGTGGCGGACGCATGCGGGCGGTGCCACTGGGACCTCCGGTGGAGCTCCCTACGGGGCCACGAAACGCTGTACAGGGTGGGCGAAACGCAGAGAGCAATGGCTGTATTGGGTCGTGGCGGACGCATGCGGGCGGTGCCACTGGGACCTTCGGTGGAGCTCCCTATGGGGCCACGAAACGCTGTACTGGGTGGGTGAAACGCAGGGAGCAAGGGCTGTGCTGGGTGGTGGCGGACGCATGCGGGCGGTGCCACTGGGACCTCCGGTGGAGTTCCCTATGGGGCAACGAAGCGCTGTACAGGGTGGGTGAAACGCAGGGAGCAAGGGCTATGCTGGGTGGTGGCGGGCGCATGCGGGCTGTGAGACTGGGACCTTCGGTGGAACCTCCTGTGGGGCCACGAAACGCTGTACTGGGTGGGTGGAACGCAGGGAGCAAGGACTGTGTTGGGAGGTGACGGACGCATGCGGGCGGTGCCACTGGGACCTTCGGTGGAGCTCCCTACGGGGCCACGAAACGCTGTACAGGGTGGGCGAAACGCAGCGGGCAAGGGCTGTGTTGGGTGGTGGCGGACGCATGCGGGCGGTGCCACTGGGAACCTCGGTGGAGTTCCTTATGGGGCCACGAAACGCTGTACTGGATGGGTGAAACGCAGGGAGCAAGGACTGTGCTGGGTGGTGGCGGACGCATGCGGGCGGTGCCACTGGGACCTTCGGTGGAGTCCCGTATGGGGCGACGAAATGCTGTATTGGGTGGGCGAAACGAACGGAGCAATGGCTGTACTGGGTGGTGGCGGACGCATGCGGGCGGTGCCACTGGGACCTCCGGTGGAGCTCCCTATGGGGCCACGAAACGCTGTACTGGGTGGGTGAAACGCAGGGAGCAAGGGCTTTGTTGGGTGGTGGGGGTCGCATGCGGGCGGTACCACTGGGACCTTCCGTGGAGCTCCCTATAGGGCCACGAAACGCTGTACAGGCTGGGCGAAACGCAGGGAGCAAGGGCTGTGCTGGGTGGTGGCGGGCGCATGCGGGCGGTCCCACTGGGGGCTTCGGTGGAGCTCCTTATGGGGCCATGAAGCGTTGTGCTGGGTGGGTGAAACGCATTGAAAAAGAAGGGGGGAGGGGAGGAGGGGGAGGAGGAGGAGAGGAGAAGAGGAGAAGAGGAACGCGGGGACCGTCTCTGGACCCAATACCACATCATGGCTGGGAAATATGCAATAGCTTCACGGATGAAGAACTGATCGGGTCAACATGTTGTTCTCGCCTAAGGGCGGCGCACACTCGACTCAAAGTTTGCACGAACTTCGCGGATGGAGGTCGATTCGTTTTGAAAACGTGGCTCTCGCCTAAGCGCCGCGCTCTCTTCTTAAGAGTTTGCAACAGTTTGAAGGATTACCATGGTGAACGGTGTCAGATTCTCAGGGCGCAATAGTCACGTTGGTTCGCGGTGTTGATGCCCCATAAACAATGTTCTGGCAAGATCCAGGGTCGTCACGACGCAGCAGCAAGGGTAATTCGCGGCATTCGAGTCCCAGGAATTGCGTTCTGGCAAAATTCCGGATTGTCCGACGGTTTTCTTCCAATGGGGCACTTCCCTCAGTGAGCATGAATCCCTCTAAGGGGCATATGAAGAGAGAACTCGGAGGGAAGATGTATTGCAATATCGTTGATGAGTCTTGGGTTTGCACTGGTCCACCTCCTCCACTTCCTCTTCCTCCTCGTCATAATCATTACCACCAGCATCTTCATCATCAGCATCATCCACGTCGCCACCATCATCATCATCACCACCACCATCATCAGCATCGCCATCATCAGCATCAGCGTCATCATCATCACCAGAAGTGTTATCAGCATCGGCCTCAGAATCATCATCAGTACCATAATCCGTATCATTATCATCATCATCAGCAGCAGCAGCATCCTCATTTTCAGCAGCAGCATCATCATCATAATCATCATCATCATCATCAGCATCATCATCATCATCATCATCATCATCATCATCATCAACATCATCATCATCATCATCATAATCGTCACCGTCGTCATCATCGTCCTCGTGTTCCTCGCTCTCCTCCTCCTCCTCCTCCTCCTCCTTGTCCTCTCTCTCCCACGTATTTACCCAAGGCGGTCCGCATCGGCTGGGGGAACACACAGTCCAATAGCGTGACCAGACTTCGGCCCAATGTTTGGCCGCATGGGCGGTTTCAAACGGCAGGGGGGCGGCGGTGGTTCGCCGTAGGCGTCTTCGATGCCCGTAGCAACCGCCTACCGTGTCCCCCGAAGATCGATCCCCCGAGCGGTGGCTGTGGAGAAGTCTCTGCCTCGGAACGGCGCCTGGCACTGCGAAGGGGGGCCTCCTGGGATGCAGAAGGGGGCCCGTGAGGAGGCCCCTTGCACTCTATTAGAGGCCAGCACGCCTCGCGCCGCCCTCTTGCGCGCGCCGCCGGGCCGTCCTACAGCCCGTTCCTCTGGAGCAGGTCCAGCATCTCCTCGATGTCGGCCCGGAGCAGGTTCAGGTGCCAGGACGCCGGCAGCCGGGAGGACGCGCAGGCGCAGACGGAGGTGTTGACGCACTGCCTGCCGTCGCGGCCGCCCGGCTTCCAGGCGCAGAGCTCGGAGTTCGGGGCGAACGCGCTCATCTCTGGCAGCTGGACCAGGAGCCACTGGTCCAGCCATGTCAAGACCTTCTTCACGTGGAGGTCGTAGTGCGGCATCCCGTGCCTGATCCGGTTCACCTGGAACTGCATCCACTTGTCACCAATCTGCCCGACCAGCATTTCCGCGAACGCGGCGCTCAGGACCCAGCCACCCCCACCGCAGGTGCCCAGCCCACACGGAGGGGTGAAGCAGATCAATTGCTCGTGCAGCGGTTGGGGCAACTTGCGACTCGCTCCGAAAGCCTCGATCGCGCCCATCAGATGCTCCACGTGCACGTAGGTGTCATCGTCGCGGACCATCCACCATAGAGGCATGGGGTTGCCAGACGCTTTCATGCGCCGCACTTCGTGGATAATGCCGAACGGGAACTTCGCTTGAGCCACGTGGCTCGGCCCACAGTAGCCGCGCGCATGGGCGCACTTGATCACCCCGACCTTCATGTTGAGGATCCCATCGGGAGCCTCTGGAATCACCACCATGTTGCCAACGAGCCCATGGTCGGAGTAGACGCAAGACTCCTCGCACGTGTGCGAGAAGACGTCCCGAGGACCCAAGCTTGGCAATATCGCGCGCTGCAGAAGCCGAGCGCGCCAGGTGAAGTTGGTGCCCGTGACAGTGGTGATGTATAGCCGTACGCCGCCCTCCTCGAGCAGCCTGTTCTCTGGCGTCACGACGGTCGGCGCGGCCGCGATCGCCGCTGCAGTGAGACTCTCGTTGGTCGAATTGAAGCGGTACATGGTCTTCCCGGACCTCTTGTACGCCTTTCAGTGATTCTGAGAACCTGTGCCAACGTCAGCTTGTGCCTGTCCACCGAAGCCTTTCAGCACGACGCAGGCGGTGTCATGAGGGCCGACACAGCCTGCGCCTTGCCAGCGGAGCTGAACAGGGCAAGACACACATTGGGCTAACACTTGTATGGGTCAGCGGCGAGTTGAATCTAACAAGCGGTCAGGCAGCGGAAGCAAAGGAAGGGCAAACGGAAGGATGAAGCGGCCGCGGAACGGTCAGATCGCTCTCAGACCATGTAGACCTTCAAGCGGCGCCAGAGCTCAGGCTCATGACTTCGACGACGCACATCGGGCTACACACGCTCTGAGGATCGTCGAGCCTTGGGAAGCGGCCTGCTTGGCTTCGCTGCCAGCCTGGGCGCCGGCGTGAGCGCTGGCGCCGCCACGGGTGCGGGCGCGCGCGCCGGCAGCTCGGCGGGTGCCGGCCACGACCCGTCAGTGGCGGGCTTCTCCCACGGAGGGCCGCCGCCCCGGAGCCCCGCCTGCACCGCCGATGGCGCTTCGGCGCCGCGCACCGCCGCAGCTGCCGCGGTCGAGCGCGCTGGCCCGGCGGCCGCAGCTGGGCCGCCCGGCCCGGCCCGCGCACCGGCGTCCCCGGGGGTCGGCAGCCCACCTGCAGGGGCCAGCTCCTCCAGCCCGGCCCGCAGCACGAGGAGCACGGCGCAGAGCAGGGCGGCCGCCAAGGGCAGGACCGCCCGGCGGCACGCTGCCATGCATCGCCTGCGCGAGCGCCAACCACGCGTCGCCCTGGACCCCAAAGCAGCGCGAAGAGCAGGCAACTCTGGGCGATTGCTTTGAGGCTCGGCCCTGAGGGCCGTGCTGCGCCCTGGGCACGCTCGCTGACCGACGGCGTGGCTCCTCGGAGGCAGGTCCTGACCACAATTCCGGCGCTCGCCCAGCCACGGCGACAAGAAAGCCCACAGGCACGACGTCAAAGGTCTGGGTGACTGCCCTTCGTCCGCCAATGGGGCGGGGCGCGGCACGGCCCCGGACCTCTCGACCCCTCCCACGGGAACGGCTGCTCATCCTGATTTGACGGCCCCGTGCAGGGGCGTGGAACCACAACATCCATCAACCATGTGAAGCTCCCTGTTGCCTGCGGGCCGCGGCCCCTGACCTAGACCGAAGGGGCAACGAACACTTGCTGGCCGCGCCAGGCCGCCTTTGCGTTGCTAGGCCACGACAAGGACATTCCGACCCAGGGCTAGGGGCGTGGAAGCGGCCCCACCGGGCGGAGACGCCGAGAAAACTCCGACCCAATGTTCTCGAGCGAACCTCTGGAGGCCCATGCAGACCTCCGACGTCATGGTTCTTACACGCCGTCGACCCCCAGAGGTCTCGACCCGCTCCCCAGGACCACTGCTCCATCCTGCGCCCCGTTTTGGCGGCCCCGAGGCCCGAGAAGGGCCCCCAGAGACCGCGAACAGCGGAAAACCCGCTGTCGTGATCTCTTCTGGGAAGGTGCACCCCCCACTCTTGCGGGGCCCGGTGGGCACGTGCCTGAGAAACGAGGCCGGTCGCTTCCAAGGGAGGAGGAGAAGGAGGAGGAGGAGGAGGAGGAGGAGGAGGAGGGGGAGGAGGAGGAGGAGGAGAGGAGGAGAGGAGGAGGAGGGGAGGAGGAGGAGGAGGAGGAGGAGGAGGAGGAGGAGGAGGAGTGCCCTTCCGCTGCTTCGAGGGGCGCGTCGCAGGCGAGGCGCGCGGCCCTGCGGCCCAGTTGGCGCCCGCTGGTCGCCTCTGCCCGGGCGGGGCTGCGCGGCGGGGCGGCCGCGCTGATGGGCTGCGCGGGGGCGGGGGGGGCTCGGGCCGCGGGCGGCTGCGGCGGTGGAGGTCGGCCGCTTGGAGGCCTGGACATTGGCACCAGCACCAGCACAGGGGTTTGCCTCCACATGGGGAAGAGGATCCTGGATTTCGGTGTTGGTGGCAATCGTTCGGTCACCTTGGAAGCCAGGATATGACCACCATCGCCGAGATCGGGATCGTCTTGCCTCGGTGGAGGCACACCACCGATCTTGGTGTTGGTGTCGACCTCTAGGCCTGCGCGCCGCGCGCGCTGGAATCGGAAGAGGTCCGATCCCTTACGTCCTGTTGCCTTCCGCCCTGGAGGTCCATCTTTCCGCATGTGCTCAGTCTTCGATCGTCGGCGGGCCTCGGGCTGCTGCAGCGCAGAGCGAGGGAAAACGGGAGGACGGGAGGGGGAGGGAAACGGGGGTGGGACTCGGGAGGCGGGCTGCTCGGCGGCGGAGGAGGTGGGACCGGGTCGACGGCCCGCAGGTCAGCAGGAGGAGCAGAGGGGCAAGAGGGCCGCGTACTGATCCTCCTCCTCATCTTCCTCCTCCTCGTCACCAGGTCCCACTGATGCTAATGCTTGCTGGTCGTTGTCCCACATGTCATTTGCAAGTGTTCGAATGTTCTCCTCCTAATGTTCTACTGTTCCAGTGCCCCACGTTTCAATTGGCTTCTGAAGCGCCCCCTTTCCGCGTGTTCTACCTCACTTGCGCGTGCGCGAAACCAAATTGTACGCTGCTGTCCTTCGTGTTTCTTCCGCCACTCAACGACCCGCGCTCGCCCATCCGGGATGTGGGATATGAGTCCCGAGACCCCTCGCACTGTTCCTCTGCATTTCTGCACCCATAACAGCCAGGCGTTGGACCCATCACCGTGTACCATGTCGTCTCGATTGCAGTGCGTATGGTCATGTTGTGACTATGGGTTCGGCGGCGGCGTCTCTTCTGCCCGCGACGGGGCGCTCCACGGGCAAACGCATCCGGAATACTCTAGCTACGCCTATAAATTCGACGTTTAACACACATCAGAGTTGATCGATTGTTCACGAACGCACCCTTTTGTGCATTCACATGAATACTCAGATGTTCTCAGCTGGCGTCTAACATGGTGAAACACAATGTCTTCCCGATCAGCCCCAAAAGCATGACACTGTCGCCAAATGCTGGCACTGCGTTGCTGAACATCCCTCCTAGCACCTTTCGCGGCCCGTCGTCCCATCGATTCCCAGATTCCCAGGTTGCATGTTCATCAACAGCAAGCATCTGCCGCCATGCGTGGAGTAATCGCAGGGTAGTGCGTAGCCATCGAATAGAACAGCTAGCACCTACATCGCCCATGCCTGCTTCCACGTGTTCTTGGACTCTTCTGATTGTTCTTTAAACTTCCCCATCTGTTTGTGAGTCCTGAGCTAAGCTATGTTCTACGTCGTGTCTCATTCAGTCAGAGCTTCAACAGCGTCTGTCATCACCGTTACTGAGCTCTCACCATCACCCTCTAAGACTACAGTGCGGGCAGAGTGCATAAACATGCACACCTTTCCTCAACATTACTGTGAACAACCTTGTCTGGTTATTCTGTTGTGCATAACCTAGATCGGATGGCCAATGTCGTCATTACCTGGAGTGTTCTTTTCTACCTTTTGACCGCGATTGCGCCACTGCCATCACCAGTAGGTCTGCCCATATGTGCTTCACCCCCCTCCGATGCATGTGTCATTACTGCGTTGCCTCTGGCACGCTGCAGACACCATGTTTGTTACGATGAATGGCTCTTGCCGCGTAGCTCAAAACATTGTATTGATCTGCTCGCCTGCTCACATCTGCTCACATACGCGTCGTCCACAGATTTAGACTCACTGGCTCCTTCGTCCTCGCCCTCGTCCCGTTCTGCACTCATAACAGAGTATAGTATAATGGAGCTTCCTCCTCATCTTCATCATCATCATCATCATCATCCTCATTATCCTCCTGCTTTTCCCCCTCCCCACTCATACTTCAATCCCCAAACCTCTGCACGGGTGCGTTCTGACCAGGATTTTGAAAGGGAATCTAGCCGTGGCGACGAGAAGCATCCCGTTAGCCCAGAAGTGGAGAAACTAAAGCATTGGCCGTCCTCCTCCTTCTCCACCTCCATCCTCCTCTTCACCCATCTTCCTCCTCCCTCTGTTCCCCTTCTTCTCATGCGTCTATCTGCTCCCCCCCTCCTCCTCGCCCTCCTCCTCTCCCGACTCCCTCAGTCCCTCTTCCCTCCGCCTCACCCATCCCCCCCCCCACCATCCTCCCCTCACCCCCCATCCCTCCCACCTCCTCGCCAAGACGGCGCGGCAGGCCGCCGCGGACGAGGGAGCCGCCTCCTGGATGCCGGCCATCCGCTCCTCGAGGGTCGTCTTC